GGGGGGGGGGGGGGGGGGGGGGTGGCCTTTGTCAACACATTCAACCAGGAAGAATTTGTCAACAGATCCAAGGTCGTTGTCAGGGAGATCCAGATTCTGTAATCAGTTGTTTTGGGAACAAAAGAGACAAGCAGACAGCAACAATTTTCCATCTGCTTTAAAGTTCCTGCTGGTACTCTCAAGGTTGCGATCTCAATCAGACAAATGGTGTGGGCAAAATTTCGCCAAGCCAAAACTATCAGATTCCTCCAAGATCAATTCCATCTGGCCAGCAAAGTCGAGGGACCCCAGCCTGCCCGCGACCCTCAATAGAACCGCTTGCAAACTGAGTCCAGCTCGCTCAAGGCGCAGTGTCTGAGTTCTGTTAGAATACGGGCACCCATCCAGTTGGTCAGTCAGCCAGGTGATTAACAGCCACCAACGCTGATTTGCAGAACACCAGGAGACCACCAAGCCAATCTGTAGAATCCAGTGATCGAAGTCCAGACATAAATCTAGAACAGAGAAGAACAGAGGTCCCACCTTTAACATGTCCTCGAGATGAAGACCTCGTTATTCCATCTCCCGGTTCATGCGTCCTATTAGACCCCGTGACATCCCCACCAAACTAGGAGCCCCCTCAGTTGTGATGCTGGCCAGCTTTGACCAGTCCAGGTCCAACTCTTACGTGGTTTGATACACTTTGCCAAAAATATCCTCCCCCGTCATTGTCCCTTTGAGACTTTGGAGGGCTGCCAGCTCTTCTCACATCTCAAAGTTTGCACTAACTCCACGGATAAAAATGAGCAGCTGCGTGGTGTCCTGCACACCCGTGCTCTCATCCAGTGCTAATGAAAAAAAGTCAAATTCTTTCGTCTTCTGCTGCAACTGGGCATATACATTACCCCCGATTTCTTCAATGTGTCTGGTGATTGTACTCGCTGATAGACTCACGGCATTAAAGACATCTTTATTTTCGGGACACACCTCCTCCAGGACAGCGTTCGTGCATTTCTTGACAAACTCTCCTTCGGTGAAAGGGTTATCGCTGATTGCTATCAGTTGAGCAACCGGAAAGCTGGCCCAAACAGATGACTGGTTCAGCTGAGCTTGGCATATAAATGTATTCTGCTAAGCTAACAGTCCACTTTTTAGCTTTGAGAGTTTGTTTGCTCGCATTTGACCTTGCAAGCTATCATACTTTTCTTTGTTATAGAATTCATAGTGTCGCCGCAGATTGCATTCTTTGAATACCGCCACCGCCTCTTGACAGATGAGACAGACAGCCTTTTCTTTGCATTGAACAAAAAAATAATTGTTTGTCCACTGCAGCTTAAATACCCTGCATTCTGAATCAATTTTTYTCTTACCTAATCTTTTCGCCATTATTCCATTCTCTCTTTGAGAGGGGCGGATTTAGGATTTTTTTTCTGGGGGTTGCCAGATAGGGGCACATACCGCTGAAGGGTGGAACAGAATGTCACATTATATGCGCGTTTGTATGAAATAGTTACTAACTAATAATAGTTAATAATGAAAATAGTTCATAACTAAGGAACATTTTATTGCAAAAGTCCAACTTTATAATCATATATAAATACACATATTTGAATGAACTAACATAAGACTCAGTGTAACATGTTACCAGTCCCAGTTGTGGCGGTAATGGAACAGCTAGTTCTTTTTTGTTTTTGTTGTGTGTTGTTTGTTTGTTCTTGGATTTTATTGTTAATCTGCTTCTCTTGTCTTTGTTCTGTGGACCATGAGTCTGTAATAAAGGTTTGATGATGATGATGATAATGGTCTGATTCAGGACAATGATGGACAAGAGACTGTCATTTTATGCGAATTTTATATTCATAAATGTGGATTTTTTTTTACTTCTCTTGCGTTTGTTGAGCACCCGTTTCAAATTGTTTTCAGTTCTAAAACTATTGCTATATTATTTGTTTATACATTATTCTGAATCTGATTTAAAAAGGAACCTGAATAAGACGAGGATGCCCTTCTTCCCCTTTATTGTTTATAATGGTGGCTGAAATGTAATTGATTTTAATTAAGACCAGTGATATTGAAGGTATCAATATTTATGGTAAGCAAATAGTAATAAGTCAATTGGCTGATGACACAACTTTATTTTTAAAGAATAGTAATCAAATACCTGTAATATTAAAAACAATATATTGCTTCTCTAAGGCCTCTGGTTTAAAATTAAATATAGACAAATGTGAACTTCGAACTATTCATGATTCTTCCTTACAACTACTGTATAATATAAAAGTGAAGAAAGTAGTGAAATATTTAGGAATAGTTATTTGTAAAGACAAATTGATATTTGAGGAGAAAAATATACGTAACAATATTGTCAAATGCAAATTAATTTTAAATAGATGGTTGCAAAGAGATATCACCATATTTGGAAGGATTCTCCTTAATAAATGGATAGCTTATCCAGATTAATGTACCCAGCGTGTTCCCTGCCAGTACCACCAGATATTATTAGAAATACAAACAAATTCAACTTTAATTATATATGGAAGAACAAATGTCATACATTAGAAAGGAAGAAATGATAAAAAACTATGAAGAAGGTGGTGCTGTCATTGATTTTAGCTCCATGAATGGGGTTTTAAAACTTAATTGGCTGAAATCATTCTGTAATGCTCCACAATCGTTCTGGTTTGTGATTCCTAACTTTAGTTTTCAAGCAATAGGTGGAATTGATTTTCTTTTAAGATGCGACTTTGATTATAATAAGCTACCCATCAAACTTTCAGATTTTCATCAACAGACTCTACTTTACTGGAAACTTCTGTATAAACATAATTTCGCTCCACATAACACTCCAGTATGGAACAACAGGTATGTTTTGGTCAACAGAAAATCTACATTTTTTGAGAATTTGTTTTCAAAAGGTATATGGGCAATTTCACATTTCATGAATGATAATGGTGAGGTATTACCTTTTAATGAATTTTGTTTAAAATTTAATATTGATCTTGATGTTAAGTCTTACAAAAAACTGATAAAAGCTACACCAACTCCTCTTAAATCTATGATCAAGGAAGATGTGCTTAATTCTAAAACTTTTCCTGTTCTGAGTCAACTTTGTGTTGAAAACATGGAGTTTAATGATTAAAAATGACTAACAAACTCATGAGAAGAATTTTACAGAAAGATTTGTTCCCAGATCAGGTCAAACGACAAAATATTCTTCAGGAATTTAGAATAGATGTAGTGTCTAAAATTAGGACAAAATATTTATCTTTTCCTCTTCCTCCTAAAGTTAAGGAAGTCCATTTTAAAATTATAAATGATATTTACCCAACTAATGCTTTTATTAGATCTAGATTTAAATTTGACACTGCTGGATGTTCATTTTGTGATGATGATGAAGACGATATAGATCATCCTTTTTTTTCACTGTAATACCACTCAAGAATTCTGGACAAATATATGAAGATGGCTCCAAGAAAAAGGAATACAACTTCCATCTTTAACTATTGCAATAATAAAATTTGGTATTTACAGTCATAATTCGGAAATGGACTTTATAATTAATAATATGGTAATGTTGGGAAAATCTTTCTTCCATAAATGTCTTTAAAGCTAAGCCAAATATAGATTATTGGAAAAATCACCTTAAAACATTTGGTGAATCTCTTAGTCTAATTAAAAACAAATGTGCTCAACATCTTAATACTTTGATTAACATCTTTGGTTTGGTTTAAGCCTCTTTTTGTCTTTTTTTTCTTTTTTTCAGTTTATTCATTCGTTTTAATTATTATGGTTGATACTGTGTTTTATGTTACTTATAACTCAACCTGTAATGCCTGATATCGTAATGTAACGTTTTTTGCCATGTTTTGTTTGTAAATGTTTTCAATTAAAAAAATGGCAATACTGTGTCACTGAATACTGACACCTGCTGGACCTCAGAAATCACTACAGGCAACCTAGTTGACAGACGCTCAACTGACACTAATTTGATGACCTATACAATAATATAATAA